TCTTAACGTGCGTGCTTTTATGCTTGGCAACAAAACATTTACACGTTTTACTCAACGGCCAATTTTCTGGAATACAAACAAATTCCAATTGAAGTCTGAGTTGCTTCGAGTTGGGCTTAAAAACTCTCAAGATTCGAGATTCAGGCTATTTTTAGATTAGTTGGCAATCTAAGGGTTCATGGGGGGAGATGAAATCATGAATTTCCTATCTAACATATTGAATTTATTTGTTATTATTATTATATATATATATTTTTTAAAATTCCTAATAATGAAAATTCATATTATTGATGAATATATTGGAATATTCACATATATATGCATTTATCAATCGAAATTTATTACGCTAATATATATTATAAAATAAAATATAAACAATTAAAAAAAAAAAAAAAAAAAAAATTTTTAAGAATTATCTAATTTTTAAATATTTTAGAAAATACGAAATAAAATTTAAAAAATATAAAAATATATATAAATCCATCTGCATGATAATTTCTAAAATATATTACAAAATTAAACATAAACAAATAAAAAAATTATTGAGCATTTTATATAAGCATTATACAATTTAAATATTATATAAAATTTAATTAAGATTGTATGAAATAAATTTAAAATATAAATAAAATACATTATAGAAAGAAAAACAAATTAAAAAAAAAATTAGTTATTTAAAATTATTTTATTTTTATTATTATTTTTATTTTATTATAATTATAATTGGCTTTACATAAATTATTTCTTCTTAGAATCTCTATCAAGTCAATAGAAATCAAATTAAATTTCAGTTCAAAGACTTCTACCCCAAGATATATTGAAATTCGACGCGTTTACATGGCATTCCCCAATGGAAATCAATTTCAAGTTTGGCTCGAAAGTTTTCAGACGGAGCAGCGAATGTAGCTGGGGACTGCTAAGCATGGCATGTAGAGTACATTGCAGTTGCAATTGTCATGATAATGATTTTTTCTGCTTTTTTTTTTTGTTTTTCTTTGGTTTTTTTTTTTCTGTTTGCAGTAGTTTGATTCCATCTTCGGCTTCACGAATTGTTGCAGAGAGGAAAGTTTTTGTTTGTTTGGGGTATCTGGGAAAGTTGTCATAACGAAGAAAGTTTGTGCGGAGGCTCAGGTGCAGTCGTGGGCACGTAAAATATGGTTGGAAACAATGTGGAAATAGTGGAAAAACTGCCGCTTGTTTTATTTATGCATTTATAGTAGTTTTTCCTCATGACTCTTGAGTCGAATTCGTGCGGCGCTTCCGTTGGCACTCGTCACTTTTGCCGACTTTGTCTCATTTTTTATTTAAACAACAAACTTTTCGCCATGCACAAAACTTCTACATTTCCCTTCTCACTTTACCTATTGCTCTCCATCTATTTTTTTTTTTTTTTTTTTTTTTTTTTTTTTTTTTTTTTTTTTGTTGCAAAATTACCTAACGAGCGAAGAGGGAGCGAGGAAGTTAGTTGCAAGCTGGCTATAACTTGGTGTAAGTAGCAAAAAGTTTTTGCAAATATTATTAAATAAGCAGCATCTCGCGAACAGCGAGACAGAGAGAGAGAGAGAGACAGAGAGAGAGAGGGAGAAAGAGAAAGGGGAATGAGAGGAAGAAAGTTGGAAATTTGGAGACAGCGTCGGGCAAAAGGCTAAGAAATAAGGAAATTATATACAAAAAAAAAATACAATAATAATGAAATTATTTATAATTGCAGAAATAACAGAAATATTTCAGCTGTTATAAATACATATATTAAAATACTATATATACAAATTCATGGTAAAGCCTTATAGCAATTGTCTCTCGACTGTATATTGTGTAAGACCCATGAATGCATGAGCAAATACTGAGCTAATAATTGAAAAGTACTGGAAATACAAGTTTGCAAGCGAAGCAACTTTTTCATGGCACAATAATAAGGAAGGTCGTAGAAGGCAATACTCCACTGGGAGATACCCTGAATGTATGAAAAAGTAAAGGAATTTATTGTTAAATTATCGTTAATTTATCGATAAACGATGATAGACTGCAATGAAACGATAAGCTGAATATGGTATATGGGAAGAAAGAATTTTAAAAGTGATTTACAAATTGAAGATTTCTGCGCTTAGACGGATGAACAGAGAGATAGAGGAATAGGTAGATAGGTCGACTGAGTAAGAATATATACACTTAATATACGTCAGTTACGTCGCCTTACACATTTAACATGAATTTCTACATATCTATATACGCCACAACTCCATTTAAAATGGTTTCAGGCAAAGAGTCTTGAAAGAGCGGGGTAACGGCGTATACATCACACAAGAAGAAGAAGAAGAAGAAGAAGACGAAGCAGAAAATGTCTTCATAAACCATAGAAATCGATAGCACACAGCTTAATATGTAATTGATGTAGCAACAACAATTTGAGCTGCCCTCAAGCATAAATCGTGCTCGATAATCAAGCCATCAAAACTATGGCAAGTAATTTGTAAATCAGTAAAAACAGTTAAATTGAACGGCAAAGGATTTGATTGTGAATGCGGTCCGGACCGCTGCCAGTTGGCACATAAATGTTGCAATGCGAGTTTGTCTCGAAGTAATTAAAATAATAGCCATTGAGAAAGCAAAAGGGCACTCGAAATTGGAATTTGCGCTTGGCGCTGCTCTCGTGCTCGTAAAATGTCCCAACAATGTAGAACACCATCCATCAGACGTCAATTGTATGCCAACTGACAACAAATCAAACTGTCATCCAGCACAGCCAAAGCTAGAGCTAGCCAGACAGACAGAGAGACGGGAAGACAGAGAGACGGACAGACAGAGAGACGAGTCGGAAGAGTCAGCAGTCAGCAGTTGAGCCAGTGGAGCATTCAACCAGTCCAAAGTATTTGTGGAGCGCCATATTTGAAATTATGCCACATGCATTGGCATTGTAAGGGTCTCTTTCTCTCTCTGTGTATGTGTGTGTGTGTGTTACTGCCTTTTGGCACAATTTCTATATGCAGGCATCTATCTATCCATCTAGTTTGTGTCTCGTTGCAGCTGTCAGCGCTCTATTTTGCAGTTCATCATCATTGTCATTGACATTTTCGAGTGGTTACAATGGCAAGCAGTGCCTGCCTAGGCACTCTCAGGGGCGTCGAGTGTGCGGAGAGGGGCACTGCCAGAGACTCCATACTTGACTAGGGGCGACTGCACTGCTTTCGATTTATTTGCGCCTGAAAGATTTATGCGTTTGAAATATGGCAAATTGCCATACTCGACACGCTTGCACATTACTCAGAAAACATTGAGTATTAAAGCTCGATTTTCGAGCAAACTCATTTGATTAGATGTAAATGTTGAATTCATAGAGTGACTCGTAATTCAAATCGGTTTTCATTTCGTATTTTGTGTGTACTTTAATTGGTTTTTCATTTGATTATATTCGATATAAGTTTGTAGATTTTTGTAAATACTTTTTGCCAGCTTTTCTTTTTAGTATAAAAGATTGAAATAAAATCAACTTAAGCTGAGATATGAATAAAAATTTTGATTTTCTTTAGTTTGATGAATGGGAACTGCAGTAAATTTGTTAAAATCTTATTAAGAGGTAAATCTTGCTTTTTATTCTTTTTCTAGCAGTTAATTTCTTAGGATATAAAGCGTTTATTTATATTTAAAATGCAAAAAAGGGAACTTGCGCCATAAAGTCGTAAAAAAAATAGGGTAAACTTTTTTGTTTGATATTTTATTTAATTTTATTTATTATTTATTTATGTTATTTTTTTATTTTTATTTATAAGCCGTACACTATTTTTTAAATAAATAAACTATCATAAATAAAACAAATTATGTTTTTTCTTTTCTTTACTTATAGAGTCGTAATACTAAATATATTTTATTTTATTTTATTTATTATTTATTTATGTTATTTTATTTATTTTTTTAATATTTAATATTTGATAAGCCGTAAAATATTATGAATAAATACAAAGTAATAAAAAAATAAATAAATAAATACATTCTAATATATATAAAAAAATTAAATTGTTATTTTCTATGTTTTTTCTTTACCTATAGAGTCGTAATACTAAATTTATTTTATTTTATTTTTTTTTATAAAAAATATTATATAATATAATAATTATAAATTTTATTTTCCACCTTTATTTTAAGTTACTAAAAATTTAAATAGTTTTAATCTGTTAAATAATCTCATTATTAAATATTCAAAATCCTAAAACTTTCATAGGTCAAAAGTTGTTCCGCTCAGGCATCATAACTGAATGGGAAACGCGATGCTTACATATTTACATAGCTCACCTGCTGTGTGTAAATTGAAATAGCTTAAAAAGCATCTGATATCCGATGAGGGGAAATGTGATTGGCTGGCTGGCAAGATGTTGTGCATTAGATACCTGCAAGGGGGGCGGTGGAGGTGGAGGTGGAGGTTTGGGGTACAGAGCTGGGCAGGTTAACTGGAGTCAGCAACTCAGCTCCGGCCACTCGATTGACTGTGAAATAGGAACCACTTTGCGCAAAGCTAATAAGGAATTGGGAATAAGGAATAGCGGAATCGATATTGCCATGACACCTACAGGACGAATTTGAATTTTGGGCTGGCGGAAATTGATGCCATTACGGTTTTGTCTGAAGTCTGACGCTGAGTGCCACGCCGGAAGTAGCTCGTGGTGCACTTTTATTTAAAGAAAGATGCCAAATGCCGGTGGCAAAAATACCAAAAAAAAAAAAGGAACAAGAAAGCCAAAGTGAAAGCGAGCGTGAAAGAGCTGCAAGAAGAAGAGCTGAACAATGTTTGGATATATGTGTGTGTGTGTTTGTATACTTTTGGGTAGCACTGTCTGCCGACACTTTTTCAGACAGACGCATATATCACACTGACAGACAGTTGGCCAGACGGACGGACGGACGGACGGACGGACAGTGGCACCCACAACACATCAGTCAATTTATCTCCAACGATTCGTGTGCGTGTGTGCAAAAATTACGCAGTTTATACGGAAGTGTGCGTGTGTGTGTGAGTGTGTGTGGACTGGCCCACTGAACTTTAGCAGTCAAATGAAGGCGGGGCCTGCCCTGAAATCTACATATATTGATAAATGACCCAAGCACCCAGTCCCAAATCGATGGCCCGATGGATGCCGCCTGACAGGCCAAAGGACGTGGGAAGGGCCGGACGGACGGCAGGACGCAGCCGAGCCGAGGCGAAGCTTGTGCAATTGATGCGCGTATTTATATCGGCCATATTAAAGTTAAGCTGCGTGGCTCTCGCTCTGCCAGTCTCTCTCCTCCGCTCGTTCTCTCGTTCTCTCGGTTTTGATTTCATTTAATCAGCTGACGACAATTAAGTAAGTTATGCCGGCACGTGCTACAAAAAACTTCATCAAAATGAACGACAACAGCGCGCGAAGTGTAAAATAATTACTTCGGCTTGTTCCAGCTCCGGTTTGGAGTGAGCCTTCGGATTGGGATTGGGATTGGGTTTTGCATTGGTTTACGCATATTGCTATCGCCTGACTTTTATTTCTCTCTCGTACTCTCTCTCTTTCTCTCACTCTCTCTCTTACACACATACATGTAATTAATTAAATAAGCGCCTCAGTCCGCAGATACATTGAATGGCTTACTGCGTAGCCCGTAAAGCGACTGATTGACTTTTGGTTTGCCCAGCTGCCTCTCGGCCAGCCCACGTCGCTTCATCTCCTTCAACAACAATTATTCAGCGCAACAAAAAGAGGAAGAAAACATTTTAAATTTCAGCTGAAAGCATTCCATTAAATGCGCCAACACAATTCCTTATTAAAAATTTTATTGCACTTCCGGTTCAATTATTTATAAATAACGCCTTGCATTAACTCTGCTGCAAACTAGAGTTGGGATTCTTTGTATGGTATAACAGGGGCGAATATGCGTGACACGAATCACTGGGAGCTGTCGAGTGGCGGTTGGATGCTGCTACAATCAGATCTTGAAATTATGTAATATGAAAGTGATCCTTAAATCCTGAAATTATTTAATATTGTGTAGCATTTAAGGCTTGTGCAGTAAGCAGAAGGAGGAGAAGAATCGTACATTAGTTAGATAGTAGTACTTGTAAATAAATAATAATTATATGCATATACAGTAGAGTCCAGTTATAGCGACTACGTATATTACTATTCCTAAGTATTAAAAATTCTGCTTCCCAGAAAGACTTATATGAGCTACCTGATGTGGTTATAGCGTCGTCCGATTATAACGACGGTTCCTTAAACATCGTTATAGCCGAATTCAACTGTATATGTTTGAACAGTCTGACCTCACGTTGGTCTGTTATTCCATCCAACGGCCTGTTCCTCTCTTTCCATCCAGACCCTTTCAATGTTTCATCTATTCGAGCATATGCTAGACCGTCCTTCTCTCTACCCACATGTTCATCACTTCCCTTGCCTGTACGCCTAAGTTGCCTTAAGCACGGTAGCATCTCATAAGCAGACGGTGCTCATATTTGAAAACTTTGCATATGAGATACTCTATTGTGTTATTAAGAATTAATTATCATAAATACAGATTTAACTGTTTTTCCCTTAATTATGCCATTTTCTAACTATCAATGAGTTGCCTTGGCTGATAGAGCATAACTCCGAAACCTTAAAAATTATGAAATTTAGAATGTACATTTTTATGATGTAAAAAAATATTTTAAATAATCTTGACTTTGGATATCTATTCACTTTCACTAAAGATTATTTTCAATACTTGGAATATACATATTGGTATATAGATACATATTTAAATGATTTGGTTTCTAGTAACACATTCTTAATAAAATTTAAGTACGTTTCAAGTTCGTTTATTTATTCCCAGAAGACAAATCATTCAAAGCTTGCCCAATCTTCAATTGAGTGGTGTCAAAAGAACAAATGGACTTCGCCCACATGCCTATACTCGCATGCCTATATATACATATATGTATATATGTATGTATATCCGCCCTTGCCTTCCCATGCATGTATTCTAGGTTTAGCCCTGGGTCATAGGTCTCTGTGAGAGCATCCACTAGTCGAGCACTGCCAACTTGAGCATGTTTTTCATGTTCTGAGCTCTCATAAACCACAATCTGCTGGCCAGCTTATTGCTGTCCTTGACTCGCCAAAAAAAAAAAGCAAAAAGAAATCCAGTTAAATAACATTTAAATTAGAACGGGTTTTTTTCTCCAACTACTCTCTGTTATGGGGGAGGGGGGGGGGGGGGGGGGGGGGGGGTGGCGCTGCATGCGGTACATAACAACAGAAAAGTTGTTAAGTAGTTGGCAACTTTTATTGCCTGGCCAACATGATCCATAAGCCGCACTTAGTTGGCCTTCAACGGCTGCTCAAACATTGTGTAAGCTCGATTTTATTTCAGCTGCTGCTGTTGTTGTTGTTGTTGTTGTTGTTGCTGTTGCTGTTGCCTAACTCGGCTGAAAAAGCCGTGTCCAGTTGTTAATTGTGCTGTGTACAAGGGCCGGAGCATGGGAGGCCTTTGCGTAGTAATTGCAATTGAAAGTTTCTTCATAATGCTGCCAGCTTGCATTTGTGGGCGGGGCTAGGTGTACGTGTGTGTAGGTGTGTGTGTGTGCGTGTGAGCGTATTAAATGTCTTTGCAGCTAGGCAATGGCAATGGCGCTGCGGCATGCTGCACGCTGCATGCAGCACACATGAAATTATAACATTTAATTTTTAATTATGAGTGCTATTAACATGGCCAAAAGTTGTTGCCCCTGGCTGGCAGACGGCCATAAAATAAATGACAAAATAAAAATGCCAACCGAGCGACAGAGCTGAAATTATTATTTTGCATTTAAGAGCAGGCAGCAGGCAGCAGCAGCAGCAGCAGCAGCAGCTGTGCTATCAACTCTCCCCCTCCCCCACTCACTCTCCCTCTCACTCTCTCCATCTCTCTCTGGCAGCTTGGCAACTAATTATGTGGAATAATGAAACAATCATGGCAGCTCCTGCTGCTTATTTGCGGCACATTTTTTCCCTCTCGTTGTTCTCGTCGTTGTTGTTGTTGTAATTTTAAATAAATTATTTCTATTTTCGCCTCGCTTTGGCTATGACAGTCCTTGGCGCGCATTTAATTTTATTTCCATTTCAATTCCGAATTTGTCTTAATGAATACCCGATGTACGTATTTATAGCCTTGGCGCACCTGTTTACACGGGCTAATTGTATGCGAATCGCTGGCGTATTGTACTTTGCATAAAAACAATAAATATTATTAACAGGCAACAAACAAAAAACCAGAAAAATGTTGCAGGCAGTTGGCATTTGATTTATGGGCGTGGCCGAGGTCAGTTTTTACGCAGAAAGTGTGCGCAAATGCAGTTCGTGTTGTTTTCATTTCAGTTTTTTTATTATTTATCAATAGTGTTTCTGTGAAATGGCATATTTAAATATACCCTGTGGATGATTAGGTAAGGAGTATTTGCTGTTTCAATATTTAAAGCTGATTGCAAGTGCTCCTTCACGAAAAGAGTAAAAGTCTATATTATTGTCATCTCAATTTACATTTGTTTTTCTCTTATTTTCCAAAACTCGAATACCCTGTAATCTCCATTCCGCTCTTCTCCCACATATCCCACTGTATATCTTATATCTTATATCTTATCCTCATGTTCACCTTATGCGCTATCATCACTCTTATCTACAGTATTTAAAAAAAATATATTTGATATACCCTATAATTCTTTCTTCAAAAACATATCATATCCAATTCATGTATTCAATATCGCATTCATATTCATTTCATTCTCTACATCCCAAATTCTCTACAGAATATGAGACTATCGTATACCCTGTAATTCAAGAGTAGCTGATTACATATCATAGAATCTCCACATACATCAAATAATCCCTTTCAGCTCTTTATATACAGATTTTTACAGGGTATTTCCATACATACACCTTTTTTAATGACATACCCAACTTTTTACAGAGTATTTGCAGATTTACAGCATTTATATATGTTTTCGTAAGTCCTGTAATCCAAAAGTATCGCACTTCATCTACATATCATATCCACACTCATCATATAATGTCATATACATCTCAATTTCTGCATACACTACTTTATACAGAGTATCTGCACACCTCAAACTCCTTTCATCCTTTCACATACCCTGTAATCCAAAAGTATCGCACTTCATCTACATATCATATCCACACTCATCATGTATTCATCTCAATCCCACCGTTCACAACTCTTTACAGGGTATTCGCACACTCACCCACATCGATTTGCATTGATTTTTTGTTGCGTGTGTGGCAGCTCATGCATTCCAGGTGTTGATGCATTATTAATGCCATTTTAAATGCCACATTCAATTGCTGGCTGGCTTTGAATGCCGTCGCATTACCTAAAATCCCGTTTATTTTGAATTTAAATTGTAATTAAATTAACGATAGCAGCCAAATACAGGGAGCGGGTCATCGGGCGGGGGCGCATTTCATTTGTAATTTAATACAAAATATATATATTGTAATTTACTTAAGAGCTCTTCGGCCATACAGAATAATTCCATTTTAAATATTGCGTTAACATATTTGTGTCGCAACATTTTAAGCTCCGTTCGCCAAATGCAATTAACAAATAAACTCGGGAATTAAAGAATGCACTTAATGCGGGCCATAGTTCAACTTTATTTGCACCGGGTAACATTAACGATGGCCAACAGGTCTCTGATGTAATTTTCGCTCGTTCAGCAGGGCGTATACGTAACGCGCTCACTCGAGGCTCTATCATCATTAAAAGGCTAAGCGTTGTTCTACTTTTGCTCAGATACAAAGGTTTCTTCTGCTTCATCATAATCATTATGAGCATTTACATCTTCATTATGATTATTAACATCATTAATATGCTTCAACTTGGTCAAGTTGCCAGCTCAGTCATGCCCTATGCTTCAGCATCATCATCATCATTATCATGCCAATGATTAAGTTTATAGCCATATTCATTAGTTACGTCAATACTCAGGGGTCTAATTATTCCATGTGCTTCCACTGCCTGCGCGTCTAAATTGCATTATTATCAGCATTATTGTGGCCATAAATATAGGGGAAGACTTTCAGCTATTCCAGCCATTCCGCATTGAGATAAACTCTACAATTGTAATTTAACAGAGCTCGCTCTCTCTCTCTCTCTCTCTGTCTCACTCCCTTACTCTGGCTCTCTATTATAGATATTCATGGCGTAATTAAATTAGGAATTATATATTAATTGATATTTGGTGCAGTGAAGTTATTATAGATTAGTTTATGTTTCGACTACTTGAATGCAAGTCTCATCAATCAAGACAACTTAAGGTCAGTCAAGGGGTTATCTAGTGCTATAATATAATTTATGAATAGAAGAAATAGAATTTTTGAAGAATATACTGATTGATAAACTCACAGAAGAGTATGTTATTGAAAGGCCTGTGATTGAATTGAATAATTGATTGGCTAAATGACTGGCAAAGTAGTTGAAAAAGTGATTGATGAGTGAAGTAATTCAATGCAGTGATTGAATGAAAGAGTGTGCTAAAAATTCCTGTGATTGATACACTTACTGAATAATTATTGACTGATTGCCTGATTTATTAGTATAAAACTGATAGACTAACTAACTGATTGATTTATTTACTAATGAACTTAAGAACTGATTGAATACTGAACTGGTTGTTTAATGTAAAATTAATTGATTGACTACCTAACAAATAAACATACAAATTGATAATATAATCCCAATTGAATACTAAATTATGGTCCAATTATCTAACCTAATGACTGACTGATTTATTCATGTAATTTTAACTGATTTACTAATTAACTGATGGACTTATAAACTGATTGAATTATATTGATTGAATACTGAATTATTGTCTGATTGTCTCACTTAATGAATGGCTGATTGAATGGTGGAAAATTAATTGATTGACTAACTAAACAATGAACTTACAAACTGATTGAGTGTTAAGAAATTCATTGATTCTTGCTTGACTGATTGACTGAGTGAATGATTACAAGGCTAGTTGTTCAATAATGATTAGGTCTGCAATGCTCAAGTACTAAACTATTCTATAGTTATCTTTTTTTTATTAAAGCGGAAACTAATTCAATAGATCAGACTGAGTTCGTTTTGGGAATCAAGAATTCAAACTAAAAAATTTGTAAAATTTTATTTTACATTATAAATAAAATACTTCAAGATGTAATTCCCTTCCTTAAATGAATTGCATTTTTTAAATTTCATTTTCAAGCTGTTGCCATGAGCAGCAAGTAGAGGTAAAAGTCAATGTTAGCACCTGACTTATGGCAAAAGTGCAAGCAGTTAAATATTTAACATATAAATTAAGCAATTTTCATAAGTTTCGCCTGAGCGTTAAACGCTAAGCTTAGATCAGCTGCAAGGCTTTGCCAGCTGGCAGTTGGGCTAATTAAATGCAGCCAACTATTTGCATATGCAGACACCAAAGTTAACGCATTAATTAGCATAAATTTCAATGGCATGCGATACGCATGCCGGATGCTGGCCAGCAGCTCGAGTTTGCCTCGAGTTTGCTCTTGGCGCGATTGACAAATGCAGTGTAAACATTTCTACAGGCAACAAGAGCGAGAACAACAATTTGATATGCCTTAATTTAAATGTTAATTCGTTTATCGAGTCCGCTGATGCGTTGAGCCTTTGTTTGTTATAATTGGCAATCTGTGAGCCAGTCGAGCCAGTTGCCGTGGTACTTCAAGCTACGCAAAAGTCAATTAGTCTTTATTAAGCAGCAGCAGCAGCAGCAGCAGTCGTCCAGTCTGTCCATCTGTGTGTCTGTCTGTCTGTCTGTCTGTCTGTCTGTTGCGCTGTCTGGCTGGTAAAGCAAATGTTGTGTCTTACGCCATAAAAATGCAGTCGCTGTCAGCTACAGCTACAGACACACACACACACATACATACATACAGAGATGTAGCTACGGCACACAGATACTTATTCAAAGGGACGCGATATAGCAGCGTTAATAATAAGCAACATTTACAAACAACAAAAGGCCATTTTAATGAAATAACCATGCGTCCTGTGTGCGTGCGCCACACGCTGTTGCACTCATTTTGGCAGCGAAGGAAAACAAGCAGCAAACCAACGGCAACCAGGCCAACAAGCCGAACAGAACACCGCAGTGGAGAGCAGACAACCAGGCCGGGCCGGACCGGGCCAGTAGAGAGCACGAGCAGGAGTAGGAGCACAACCAGGAGCAGCAGCAGGAGCAGGAGCAACAGAAAGCGGGCCAAACAGCATGCGTACAAGATGAAATCATTAAAGGAAATGAGTTTTTTTTTTCCCATCGGGTTATGACAAAAAAATGCGTTAAAATAAATTATTTTAATGTAGTTCTCATGTCAGCCCACGCCCATGCCGTGTGGGTGTGCGTGTGTGTGTGAGAGTGTGTAGGTGCCTCTCTCTGTGTGGGAAAATGCGCGCATTTTAAAAATTCATGTAATCACAAAAGTACACATGTAGTAAAAAAACACACAACGCGCCTGAGCTGTGTGCAAATGTTTGTTCCGGCCACGCCCATATGAAGGTAAAGGCGAAGGCCGAAAGATTGGCAGGCTGGAAAGGTGCCTGCATTTACATTTAAGGCCTAATAAGCCCAGTAACAAGGCACGACTGACTGACTGAATGAATGACTGCTTGACTGATTGAATGACTGGCTCACGGACTAACTGAGGAACTGACTGAATTGATGATTGACGGTCTGACTTACCTACTGACTGACTCACTGACGCACTTCCCCCTGACTGACTGACAGATTGACAGAATGACTGACTGACTGACTTACTGATTGACAAAAAGACTAACTGACGGACTCACTGAATGACTGAATTACAGATTGACTGAATGACTGACTGACGGATTCACTGACTCACTGATTGATTGACTGACGGGTTAACTGATTGACTTTCTGACTTACTGATTGATTGACTGACTGACTGATTCACTGATTGGTTGACAGATTGACAGACTGACTCACTGATTCACTGACTGATTGACTGATTGGCTCACTGACTGACAGACTAACTGGCTGACTGGTTGACTCACTGATTCATTGACGGACGGATTCACTGATTCACTGGCTGGCTTACTGACTGATTCATTGATTGGCTGACATATTGACTGACCGATTGACTGACTGACTCGGTGATTTACTGACTGACTTTCCCGATTGATGCTCAACTATTTTTGGGCTTTCACATGATTCTTTCAAAGACATTTTATAGAAATTACATTAGATTCAACAATTTCCCTCAAAAAGGGGAAGTTGGAATGAGAGGAGATAGCACTAACTATCGCTATCGATACCTAACTATAGCGCCATCAATGTTCAATTAGAATGGCATTAAAGCAAGACAGAAAATATTTTTCTCTTGCATTCAAATCGAAGGACAAAGCAAAGATGTCAACATCAGAATAGCTAAAAGTGAAAAATAACCCGTTCACATAAAAGAAAAGTCCATCCTAATCATTGTCAAAGAACAAGTCAAATGTTGACAATATATATATACAAACCATACGTATTTCCTTTTGCTTCAATTATTAATTAAAATAGCTATTTCAAGGCTTTTGCATGCATGCAACTGACTGAAGCTTTAAATCTCTAAGCGAATTCAAACGAATTTCGTAATATTTGAAATGTCATTTAATATAAATAATTATCTTTATCACTTGTTTGTTGACGGTCTAATACACTGCCATAAAATCGCTAACAACTGTGCTTTTGCCATACAATTGGCTAAAACCGCGCACTAAAAGGCCAAAAGCGAAAAGTTCAAATGCAGTTACGGTCAGTTGAAGTTAAAAGATTCAGCGTAGCGTATGCGGCATAAATAAAACACACACACACACACACACACACATACTCTCTATGCATACCTTGTTGTGCCATTTGCTGGTTCGGATTTCACATATGCGCTGCAGCGCGGAGCTGACAAAGCCAACAACTCGTGCGTTCACTTTTTGTAGGGGAACACAAGAGGGGAAAAATATGATTCGATTATGAAAACCGAAAATTATGTACTCTATGGATAACTGATTGCTTGTATGTATGAAATTCAGAGAGTATTCTTTGAGAAACAAATCATTTCCATATGGAAGGAAACAATTTTCTGTTTAGCATAGAAAGAATGTATTATACTACTATAAATATTGAATATATAGGATTTTATAGTCTATATATTGCCTGAAATATATGTATGTATATGTATGTAGAGATAAAGGGAGATTGATAGGTGGAGATTGCAGAGGGAGAGATTGAAAGAGAAAGAGATAGAGATGGATGGAAGAAGCCAGAGAGATAGAGAGAAGAAGCCAGATTGAGCTAGATATATAGAGAGATAGATAAATAGAGAAAGAAAGAGATAGATAAATCCGGTAAGGAAAGAGAGCAAGATAGATATATATATAAATATATGTACATATTTATATATAGAAAGGGATAGATAGAGGGAGCCAGAGAGGACCACAGAGAGAGCTAGATAGTTAGTGAAAGCAATAGAGAGAGGAAGAGAGAGAGAAAGAGAGAGAGAGAGATACTTAGATGGATGGATAGATCGATCGAGAGAGACATAGATGGATAGATAGTTAAAGAGAGAGACAGAGAGAGAGAGAGAAAGAGAGCGTATAATATATAGGGACAAGTACATTCAAATATGATCAAGT